ATAATTATTTCATGAAAAAAGAATATAACATTTTTCGATGAAAATAATTGAATGTTTATTTTCTTTAACCGTTTTTATCGATCGTCTGATTAAAAAATTCACACACAGAAATACAACAATAATAATATTACGTAATCGACGATTTAAATCATAGATTACGAAATTATTATAATCACATATCGCTATTGTATTTAGAATCGTCGTAAATCTAAAATAACATCCGTTTTAAGGCCAGTTTTCGAGGAAAGTACAAATTTGTTGACTAATGACTAGCGCCCCGAAATTCCTACATAATAAGCGTGGCGCGGCGTCGACATGTAATGGCCGTCTGTCGCGCCTACACGCGGATCCTCTTTGCGGCTCGTTTCTCTCTTTATCATTTCTCTCTCTCTCTCTCTCTCTCTTAATCATACTCGGCTCAATCCCTCTCCAGAGCCGACCGGCCGCCGCGTCGCCGCCGAGCTTTAATAAAGCCGGCGCGGCATGTCACTCATCGACGCACTTCAAACTCCGGGCCAGAGTTGGCACGATTTGAATAACAAGATGGGAGCGCGATTTAAACGGCGATATTTCAGCCCCTAATTAAGGCACTTATAATAAACGCGCGGCGCTCCCGTGGCTGTTACGTAACTCGCGCCGCTGAGCACCTCCCTCCAACCGAAACGCGCCTATTTCTAGGCCTGTTTATCCGATTGTCAGCGGGAGATGAATTTTATTACATTTACTGAATCGATCGTCCGCATCGCATACCTATCGATCTCAAAGTAAAGATACTGCACGCAAACGATACAAAAAGATATTTTTCGATCCTTTTTTCGGATAAGGAAAACAAATTATTGCACGTGTCGTCCGTACGTAAATAATTCCCAATAAATCGAGAGTCAAAAAAGATATAGGATAAAGTGGTACAATTTTTTCGAACATGGTTGAACAATTTTGAATTACGTAAGATTAGAATCCAATTTTCGAGCTTTAAATTTTTCTTGTTTGATGATTCCCTTTATACAATAAAAGAAAATAAAATAAAATAATCATTTAATGAAATTTATTAAATCCAAAGAAATCTTTGGTACCAAACTTGAACCTTGAATTTGGATTAAAATCTTACTTTCTTCAGAATTGTATCATGTTCGAAATTGTACCACCTTATTCCTAGGCCTTAACTCTTAGAATTGGAAAAAGAATAAACCGAATCGAGATTAAAATTACTCTTATAAGTAGATTAAAATTAATCTTATTGTAGAATCGAGCTTATATCCGTTCCTATCGTTGTGATTCAATTTTAATCTTGGTTCAACTAACTCTCCATTTTTTTCGAAGAACTAGAAAAATATAAACAACTCGAACCGAGATTAAAGTTCAATTGATAGAAGCGCGGGTATTAAAGTCCCTAGAGACAGAAGGTGCGATTCATTTTAACGCTGCGAATGCTTGATCAATCAAAAGAAAGAATTTTGCGAATTAACCAAGTGTGGGTCGCACTCTGAGTCTGGGCATCGTCTGAGCCCCATTTGATTGACATGCATTCACAATGGCGTTACCGATCAAAGTGTAGTATACACTCACACCAAACGCACACACATTTTACATCTACGCACGCCATTTTGTTTACATGACTCTCTAGGGACTCGCTTACCCTATAATATGAAAGTCGCCACCTCGCGCTTTCGAGTATGAATGAATATCGAAGCGCGCGCGCGCGCGCGGAAGAAGAAGGAGCGGCGGAGAAAGTCACGCACATTACGCGCTGAATCGCGCGGCTCGATAATAAAAACCTGCGCCGCAACGATTTGCGTAACGACGATACCCAGTCGCCGCCGCCGCCGCCGCCGCTTGCCGTCGCCGACTGGCCGATGATAATCGATTCGTTGGCGTGAATTATTAACTGGCTGCCGCGGCAATGTGTGAACGAACGGCCAGCCGAACGCAGAAAAAAAAACAGATAAAGACGGCGAGTTTGTGTCGCAGCTTTTTTTTTCGTTACAAAAACAAGGCGCCACCGCGGGAGCGGGATTTACGGGAGCGCGATAAAATTTCGCGATTTGATGCGAAATTGACGTATAATCGACGCTATCGCCGATCGCACTGACAATGGTCACGTCCGGTGTCTGTTTGCGAGCCAGCGAGGTTGCGCGTAAAATGAGCCGACGGGAAAAATAGGCGAGCGCCGCCGGCGCGTACACGCGTCATTGCATATTGAATACGCGCGTTATTTCGAGCGATGTGGGCTAAATAACGTATGCGTCACGGTATACTAAAATAAACGTGTACAATGAAACAAAAAGTATACTCAATTCTAGTTGAATAGTTCGAAGTATTTACTAAATGTAAATATATATTTATTTCGTACAAGAACCATCAATTTGATTTAATTATTATTTTTTATTGGGTAAAACATTTATTTACTGTGCACTGTAAGTAAGTCTTTACTCGATTCTATTTAAAAACCAATATATAAAAAAATATATATATATATATCAAGATTTAGTAAATTTTTTGCCTAAATATTTCATGTATATAAAAATATATAAAATCAGTAAGAAAGATATTTTTTTGTATATGTAATACGATGCAATTTCTTGACTTTTGTTTAAAGTTAGCATCCTAACATTAAAGTTCCATAGTTTTGATTATTTCTTGAATGATAAGTACTTCTTTACGAGACACTGTAGAATTCTCATTTATATACAGTTATGGACACGATGATGTTCGCGAATGCCAACACGTGGAGACCCGAGCGAACATCATTTCAGTGCGTGGTCAGTCTTTGTTTTGAACAACGGACTCTAAAATGCCTTCGGAATTCTCCGCGATGCTCAGCAAGAGAGAGAAAGAGAAAGAGAGAGAGAGAGAGAGAGAGAGAGAAAATTCGAATTCCTAGGAAACCTATTCCCGATCCGTCGAAACCACTAACACGCGCGTCTCAGAGATTGAGTATATAATAAACATCGGTACCAGCCAAGATTCCCGACGCCTTCGCTGTCCCCAATTCCGATGATTCTCAAAAATTTCATCGATCGAAGGTCAGTACTGCAAGCAAAATGTATTTATACTACATATTTGCTCCAGAAAATGTACATAATGGTAATATATTAACATACATATTCTAATATTAAAACATATTATACATAAAGATCGACATTCTAATCATCGTCATCGAATGTCGAGGAAAATAAAAATGCTTGAAAATGATATTTTTATACGAGAATTCACTAAATAATATCTCATTTTCCAATTTCAAAATTTTCGTTAACAGAAACCACAGGCAAAGTGATTTCGGTTCATTCGAAGTAGCATGGGAAATCTATTCATTACCAGGATTTTTACACAAATAATCAGTATAACAAGCCCGAGACGAATTAGGGGAAGAATCAGTCGGCGCGACGCGACGCCGGCGACCGCACAACGCGACCCAAGTCGGGTCGGGTCGGAGCTTGGGATACTCGTCGTTTGCCTGCTCGCTCGCCTGCTTGCCTGCCTGCTTTTGTGGAGTTCGACTCAGTTCGGTCAGCTCCTCGGCTAATGCCGGCTGGCCTCGACAATTAGCTGGCGCCAGCAATGACACGCAGCGGCGCCGGGCTATGGTCCCCTCTCTCTTCGCGGCCGTCGCGGCCGTCGCGTCGCGTCTCGTGCTCCCTCCGTTTCC